GTTTGGGATGCGATTTTCACCACCCAAATGCAAATTTTTGCTCCAGGACTGGTCTTCAGCGGTACCGCGGTTAACAATAGAGAGTGAAGTGGTTGAGTGTGTTGACCACTTCACTTACCTGGGAAGTAGGATCAACCCGGTGGGTTAGTTGCCGATGAGATTTCTGCACGGATACAAAAGGCTCGATTGGCTTTTGCCAATTTGCGCCACCTATGGCGCCGCCGTGATATTCGTTTGTCTATTAAGGGTCGCGTGTACTGCACAGCAGTCCGCTCTGTTCTACTGTATGGCTGTGAAACATGGCCATTGAAAGTGGAAGACATGAAAGGCTTCAGGTGTTTGACCACCGTTGCCTTCGTAGTATAGGACGTATTCCGTGGTGTCACCATGTGAGTAATGCAGAAGTTAGGTGTAGAGTTTTAGGGAGAAGAGGTAAGTCAGTCGACGAGGTTGTGAACCTTCATCGACTGAGATGGTTGGGACACGTACTACGTATGCCTCGTCACACAATGTTGGCTGAGGTGGGTTCAGGCTGGAAAAAGGCCCGAGGTGGCCAGACTAAAACATGGCACCAATGTATGAAGTCTCTGACTGTTGGTTTAAGCCATGTAGGACGATGCAGACTAGGTGGTTGGGGTCCACGGGACAAGAGGAACCAGTGGTTGGAGACCCTAGGTGATATGGCTCAGAACCGAAGTCAGTGGCGCAGATGTATACACACATTATCCTCATCTTAACAACGCTATACCGAATCTCACTATTTTGTCACTCCTCTTTCCTTTCTTCTCGTACTTTATATTTCTTTTGACTGCATTCACTTATCTTCATCCTTCACCTCACTACCTTTTTACTTGATGTGCTGATATGAGGTGTGGCAACTCGGACCGTTACGCAGTAATGCCTGGTCCTATGTTGATAATGATGATGATGAGTTCTTATTTAGCAAGAGAGAATCATGCACGCCTTTCAGGTTGGGATTTTCACATGTCCCTTTGATTGTGTAGTATGACCAATCACAACTAACCTAATCTATATCGGTCAATGAGATTAATATAGGTTATGTGTATTTTGACGAAATTATGGATAGACAGAAACAGTAAACACAGTTTTCCGACATCGATGTTACTACAGATTGTTCACAGTGCAGATCATGTGGATTTATGTTCTGCAGTGAACCATCCAACTGAACTCAAGCAAAATCAGACAGCAGGATGAATCATTTCACCAACTCCACCCAAACACCTTGTGACTGCTTTCATCCAGGCAATTCTTAGCAACTTACGCTCCAGTTGTAGGGTATTTTGAACATGCTCAGGGCCTCCGGACTTCTCAATGTATCCCAAACAACAATTTGTCCATGTGTTCGGAAGTTGTTCTCAGTAGAACATTTCATTTCCACAAAAGGCGTTTGCTAAGATACTCGCGGAGAGGGAGATCATTATTAGAATAATTTTCGTTAACAAGGTGCTGTTATTTCTTCGCAAAAGATTCTAAGCCAATACGACCAAATAATTCTTCGACAATATACACACGAGTTAGGCGTGAAATTCAAAGCTGAGGATTCGTCTGAAGTACATTATTATAGTCATTATTACCATTATGATTATTAATTGTCTTTTGAGTTCCTAGTGGAATGTAGGGCTCCAGTTAGACGTCGGCATTTCACTCTGTTCTCTGCAGTCTTTCCAACCTGGCTCAACGACTGACCAGAAGCTTTCATTTCTTCCCCACACGATCTCCCCCATGTCACCCTCGGACGCCATACTCGTCGTTTCGCATGAGGGCTCCACTCAAAACCCTGGTCTGGAGCATGATGTCCCCAAGCGGTCTTAACGGTGTATGCACATCCAATCCATCTCTACTTTCTTCTGCGTACTTTTTGGATGATGGGTTCTCGGTTGGTTCGTTGGCAGGCCAGAGTTCCTTGTTACTTATTCTTTCTGGTCATCTGATTCTCAGCATCGAGTGAGCGTAGGCAGCAGCCGTTGATGGATGTCTGTAGTTTGTTGGAAATCCCTATCCTTATGCGCCAAGTCTCTGAACCATATAGTAGCACTGACTTGACGTTGGTGTTGAAAATCCGAATCTTGTTCCACATGCTGAGTGCAGAATGTCTCCACACTGGTTTCAGGCTAATGAACGCCTGTCTTGCTTTTCCGATCCTGCCTAGCTTTGACCTCTTCATCTGTGCCGCCACATGTAGTTGAAACAGTGCTACCTAGATAGGTGAAGGAGGCTACTTCCTTTAAGTTTCTCCCGTTCTTGGTGATTGGAGCTTGTTATTGTTGTTGGTGGCGTTGGTCGGGTATCTTCACCTCTGTCTTCTCTACGTTCACTTGAAGACCCATCTTCGCTGCCCTGACCTTCCTCTTCTGTCAACTTGTTAGTTTTCTTCTGTAGATCTTCAAGTTTGTGTGACATTAGACACAAGTCATCGGCTAAATCTAAATCTTCTAGGTTCTTTTCCGTGGTCCAGCGTATGCCCCACTTCTCGCTCCTCACTGTTTGCTGCATGATCCAGTCGACCACAATCAGCAATATCATGGGGGATAGTAGGCAACCTTGTTTCACTCCTGTCTTCACTTCAAAAGCATCACTGAGCTGAGCTTCCCATTGTGAATTACTTGGCATCTGGAGTCTTCATATAGTTGTTGAATGAGGCTGATAAAGGTTTGCGGCATTCCGTAGTATTGAAGCAGTTCCCAAATTACCTCTCGGTCGACGCTGTCAAAGGCCTTCTCAAAGTCGATAAAGTTGAGGTAGAGAGTTGACTGCCATTGTATACTCTGTTCTATGATGATGCATAGTGTAGCGTTGCAATTTGGTCTGCACATGATTTGTACTTCCTGAGTCCAGCCTGCCTGTTCGGGTGTTAGTTTTGAATCCAGTGCATCCTTTAGCCTCTCCAGGATGATGCGGCTTAATATTTTGCTTGCTGTGGGTGGATAGGAGAGTGATTCCGTGCCAGTTCTTGCAAACACTGAGGTCTCCCTTCTTCGGGAGTTTGACAAGGTAATCCTTCTTCCAATCAACCGGCAGGTACCTTCCCTTGCTCCCAGACCTTCTGCAATAGTGGTGTGAGCATGTCCGCTGTTGTCTCTGCGTCTGCTCTCAGTGCTTCTGGTGGGATCCCATCTGGTCCTGCTGCTTTCCCACATTTCAGTAGCTTTATGGCGTTCAGGACTTCCCTTTTCGTTGGAGGATTTATGTTCACTTGTAGTTCTGTGGCTGTAGGTGGTATTTCTGGACGGAGTGCAGGTGGTGGTCGATTCAAGAGCTTCTTGAAGTGGCCAGCCCATCGTTTCCTCTGTTTCTCTTCTTTCGTAATTAAATTTCCATCATCATCTTTGATTGGTTTCATCTGCGTTGATCTCTTCCCAGATAGCAACCTGGTTATTTGATACAATGTTGTCAGGTCTCTGTCTCTCCCACCTACAGCCTGTTCTGCTTCACTTGCCAGTGTTTCGTAGAAGTGTCTTTTGTCTTTGCGTGCACTCTTCTTCACTTCTTTGTCCAGTGTTTTGTACATTGTAATCAGTTCCTCTTGTCGTTGAGCATCCTTGCACTGGTTTATCTCCTGCTTCACCATCCTCCTCTCCTCTATCAGCTTCCAGGTATCTGTCGAGATCCATTCCTTATCTTCTTCCTTCTTCCTTCCTAATACTGTTGTGCAGGTTTCTTTCCACATAGCTTTCAAAGACTTCCAATGCTCTTCCACACAGGTTTCTTTGGGGATGTTCCTCGATATCTCCCATTTTGTCTTGATGGCTGCCTTGAAGATCTCCTTTGTGGTTTCATCCTTCAGTTTCCGAGTGTTATACTTGAACTGCGGTCTATCACCAGCTTCCTTGAAGGCTTTTAACTTGATTTCGAAGGTTCCTTGCACTAGATAGTGGTCTGAACCTACATCTGCTCCTCTTTTTGACCTTGTGTCAAGTAGACTGCGTCTCCATTTTCTTGAGATTGAAATAAAGTCGATCTGATTTTTAGTGTGTCCATTTGGTGAAATCCACATCGCTTTGTGGATATCTTTGTTCTTGAACACACTGCCTTTAATCACCAAATCGTTGAATGCGCAGAATTCTGCAAACAATTCTCCATTCTCATTCATTTCACCTAGCGCTTCTCGACCCATGGTTAGTTCTCTTCCTGTGATGTCCCCTCCCAGTTTGGCATCCATACCGCCCATTAGAATTTTGACATCACCAACTGAGGTGGTGTCTTGTCCAGTGTTGATTGCAATTGTCTGTAGAATTCCTCCTTTTTCTCTTGATCTGCATTATTTGTAGGTGCATAGCAGTGTATGATTGTGACCTTCCTTCCTTTTGAGTTGAACCTTGCTGTCATGATTCTGATGCTGGAGGAGATTGGGTCCCACTGCATGAGAGCCTTCGATGCTCTCACGGACATCACGATAGCCACTCCGAAACTCAGGGTGCTCGTGGTGGTCGTCTGGGTGACAATATCGGAGTAGATTATTGATTCTCCAGTTGACAGTTTGCGGAGTCCACTCCCATTCCATCTGCTTTCGCAAATTCCAAGCACTTCGATGTGATACCTTCTCATCTCGTTTGCAATCTGGGCTGCCTTGCTGGGTTCAAACATGGTGCGGACATTCCATGTCCCCACGTTTACTTTCGCTTTCATCGAGGGAAGACACATCGGCCAATTGGCTTCGCGAAGGCTTTCACCAACTGGCGTCATTTCGCCTCTCCGATTCTAGCGAGGAATAATTTTGTTTTTATTTTTAATATATCGTTTGTGCTTTGAAGTTTCTTTGGCGGTTAGATTTGTCTTACGGGGTAGGGTTGACAGCCCTATGCCCAACCTTCCCTCTTTACCCGGGCTTAGGACCGGCTAGTAATTGGTGAACTAGTTAACCAGGCGAGGTTGGATAATCGAGAATACCAATGTTAAATAGGACGAAACACACCTCCAGGATTTCTCTAGAAGCCTGTTATGATGCCTACTGAAAGACTGAGAGATGCTTCAATTCTTATATGACAAGTAAATCGAATGATGATTTTGGAAGACTGGAAGAGAGAATGAATGAATGTAGTTTTGTGAGGTACATAACTTGAAAACACTGTCAGAGTACTCAAGAAATCTGAGACACAAATGAATGACAAGGGATGCAACTGAAATAAGTGATTTCGGAAAGAGTGTATGGTGGGAAAAACAACAGCAATGGAGAAGAGGGATTGACAATATTTTGCGATCAGTGTAACGTATGACTGATAAATTATCATCCGATGGG